ACTTACCACTTTCATCTTTATCAAGTGAACATTGAGAGCTCATTGGGGTAGCCATTTCTTTACAATCTTCCATCTCAAATTTCTTGAGAAGTTCTTTTGAGTACTTCGTTTGGCTAAGAAATGTCCCATGTTCAAGTTGTCGAATTTGAAGACCGAGGAAGAAATTTAATTCTCCCATCATTGACATTTCGAACTCTCCTTGCATAATCTTAGTAAATTCCTCACACATAAGATCATTAGTAGCACCAAAAATAATGTCATCAACATAGATTTGTACTAAAAGCATGTCAATAACATTATGCTTAACAAAAAGTGTGGTGTCTACCTTTCCTCTTTGAAATCCATTCTCCAAGAGATGCGAACTCAAACGTTCATACCAAGCTCTTGGGGTTTGTTTAAGTCCGTATAGAGCCTTTTTCAGTTTGAACACGTGATTTGGGTACTCAAAGTCCTCAAATCCCGGAGGTTGTTCAACATACACTTCTTCTTGAATGAAACCATTCAAGAAAGCACTTTTGACATCCATTTGGTACAATTTAAAATTCATAGTAGCGGCATACGCAAGTAGTAATCTAATGGCTTCTAATCTCGCTACGGGTGCATAGGTCTCATCAAAGTCAATTCCTTCTTGTTGATTGTAGCCTTTAGCCACGAGCCTAGCTTTGTTTCTAGTGATTATACCATTTTCGTCGAGTTTGTTTCTGAAAACCCATTTAGTACCAATAATAGAATGATTACGTGGTCTAGGCACAAGCTCCCAAACGTCATTACGTTTGAATTGATCCAACTCTTCATGCATGGCCATAGTCCAGTATTCATCATTAATGGCATCATCAATGGTAGAGGGTTCTATTTGAGAAACAAAAGCCATATGATTAACTAAATTACGTAATGAGCTACACCCCTTTTGAGATTTCACCGATAACATTGTCGAGTGGATGATGTCTTGAAGTTCTCCATTCGGGTGGTAACTCATTTACTACATGCTCATCTTTATTGTTCTCACTTTCCTTTACTTCCTCTTCTTGTTTTTCAGATTTTGCTTTACTAGACTTGCCTTCTTCAAGATGTATTTTCTCAAGGGAGCCTGCAAGATCATCACAAGATACCCTTCTCGACAAGCGAGCATTATTCTCATCAAATACAACATGCACAGATTCTTCAACAACTAAAGTACGTTTGTTGAAAACTCTAAAAGCCTTACTAGTCAAAGAGTATCCTATAAAAATTGCTTCATCTGACTTGGCATCAAAAGGTCCTAAGTTGTCTTTGCCATTATTTAAAACAAAACATTTACAACCGAAAACGTGAAGATGCGAGAGATTAGGCTTTCTACCTTTATATAATTCGTACGGAGTAGCGTTAAGTGTAGGTCTTATAACCGCACGATTGAGAATATAAGCACTAGTACTTACCGCATCCGCCCAAAAATACTTGGGTATGTTAGCCTCACTAAGCATGGTTCTAGCCATCTCTTTAAGAGATCGGTTTTTCCGCTCAACAACGTCATTCTGTTGAGGCGTTCTTGGGGCTGAGAAATTATGTGCAATGCCTAGTTCATCACAGTAGGTATCAAACCCGCTTTGATCAAATTCTCCCCCATGATCACTTCTTACGGCCACAATGCTACAACCTTTTTCATTTTGAACCTTCTTAGTAAATTTGCGAAAAGATGAAGGTGCATTACTCTTGTGAGAAAGAAATAAGGTCCATGTATAACGAGAATAGTCATCAACAATAACCAAGGCATAGTAATTACCACCTAAACTCATAGTTCGAGAAGGTCCAAAGAGATCAATGTGCAAAAGCTGCAATGGTCTAGAAGTAGAAACAACTTTCTTTGATTTGAAAGAAGTTTTTACTTGTTTACCCTTTTGACATGAATTGCAAATTCCCCTTTCGAATTTGAGTTTAGGAACACCAATTACTAGGTCTTTTGAAACTAATTTATTAATTAGTTCCATATTGGTATGACCAATCCTTTTATGCCATAGCCACATTTCTTCCTCTCTAGTCATAAGACAATGAGCAAAATCAGAAGAAGTACTATCTAGGTTGATCATATAAATATTATTAATTCGATCGCCGGTAAGGATAATTTTCTTATCACAAAGGCGTTCAACCAGACAATGACTAGATGTAAAAGTAACACGATTACCTTTGTCACATAACTGACTAATACTAAGCAAGTTGTGCTTAAGACCTTTGACTAACAACACGTTATCAATTCCAGATTCTTTGTCTTTGCCAACAGTTCCGGTTCCGATAATCTTTCCTTTGTTGTTGTCACCAAAAATAACATTCCCACCATCGAGAGATTTAAGGAAAATAAATTTGGATGCATCTCCGGTCATGTGCTTGGAGCATCCGCTATCAAGGTACCAAAGTACACTTGATGCCTTCAAGCACACCTCATCCTCAAGTGCCATAAGACATAAGTTTGCCGTTTCTTCTTCATCATTGCTAGTTTCGGAAGATGAACCGCTATTGTCCCATGAAATATAGGCCTTTTGCTTCTTCTTGAACTTCTTTTCCTTCTCTTGTTTTAACTTAGGACAATACGGCTTGATATGTCCCACTTCACCGCATTCATAGCATTTGGGTGGTGTGGACTTCTTGGAGTTGTCCTTTCTTGGCTTGAAATTCTTCTTGACAAACTTGTTGAAGCGTTTGATAACAAGTGCAAGTTCGGGATTCTCTTCCGTATCACTTGAGTCTTCATCATGGCTCACTTCCTCAATCTCCTTGGTAGATTTTAGTGCAATAGATTTCCTTTGCTTGCTATCAACCGGAGGATAAAGAGTATATGTCTCATAGGTGAGTAGCTTTCCCCTTAGTGTATCATATGTCAAGGTGTTGTAGTCTCTTCCTTCACTAATGGCTCTTACTTCGGATTTCCACTCGGGAGTCATGCATCGTAGGATTTTTCGAACCAAATCATGATCAGTGTAGTGCTTACCGAGAGTGTCAAGATTATTGATAATATTTGAGAATCTCTCAAAATAACTATCAATACTTTCATTGGCTTTCATTGAAAATAGCTCATATTCATGAAGCAACAAATCAACTTTAGCATCCTTCACTTGCGAGGTGCCTTCATAAGTTACCTCAAGCTTTGTCCACATTTCACTAGCGGTTTTGCATCGTGAAATCTTTCTATAATCATCAGGATTGACCGCACAATAGAGATAGTTGATGGCTTTGGAATTTTGCATCACATTCTTCTTGTCTCCATCATCGAATTCAGATTCCAATTTGGGTACTCGAATTCCATCAAC